GGGGGATGCGGTTGACTCGTCATCAATTTGCGTTCGAACGCGCTGACCATTAGCTAATACATACCCTAGAGCAATTAAAGTGAAAAGCTTCCGAATATTTCCTGAGAAGTATACTTAAAGACGGAGGAAGTAAATCTTCTACTAAAATCTACTACAAGTAATCTCTCGAATTTACTCAAGTATTAGATACCGAAATATGTGCGATTAGGCCATCAATAACCGAATCAGAAATCGTATCTTTTTACATAACAATGCCAAATTCAAGGCATTTAAAAAAATGGTAGAAGGGGAAACGATGGTAAATAGCAATAAAATTCAATATTAATACATATCCACTTATACATTTGTTAGCAGATTAATGTGCCGATTAAAAGAAAAATTTTTCTGAAGGAACATTTTAATTAATTAAGTCGTAACTGTAAGTATTGTTGCGAAAATTTGTAATTTTTGCATTGACCTTGACGATAATTTTCAAATCTTTGCACATGCTCTGAATTAGCCCTTATTGTCGTTTTGTACCTGTCCTTTCCATTTTTTCACGAAAATGTGGTCATCGTACAAGGCGTTTAATAGTATGGTTACTGATGTCCTCGTTAACAATAGAATTGATCAGTTGATGGAATTTGAGGCAATTATTAAAAAGCATAGATTGGATCTACTTAATTTCAACATATATAAAGACGTAAGTATTTTTGATTTAGTGGAAATAAAATTCTTTGTTATTATATATATTAATGCTAAAAGTATCTCTTTCAGTCTAAATCCATTGAAGATCGGCAATCAGTTACCAGAGCTGATGTTGAAGCTATTTCAATTCCTGGGCTCTCACAGAAAATTCTTCTCACTCGAGATCTTATTGAAGAAACATGCAAACTGAGCGATCTTTTCAATCTAAATGAAATTAAAACTCTAGAGCTTCTTCTTACTGCTGAGGGGCATTTATCTGCTCAGTCTAGTACCCTTAGCCGGTTGTCCTTAGCTATCTCTTTGTACTACGATGCCCACAGTCTACTATCCGATGCTTTACGCACTATTATTAGTCATCGTATTGGCCGAATTCCTTCAAACAATTCACTCTCACGAGACATCGCGGAAGTTGTTGCATCATTCACTGATGATCTCTGGCAAAGTGGTCTACTGGAAGACCTTTTATGTAGGCTAATTTGCCCTTTCCGTGCTTCATATCTCTAGAAAGCCTTCTTATCTGTTTTAAACTTTTTGCATAGCTTTTCTGAGAAGTTTCAATACCATTGAAGAATATAAGAGGTTGGATTCAGCTCGTATGATTGAGAGTCGCCGACATCGTTATGACATTCTTCATCACTTTGCCGCAATTCGTAATCGAATTGCTGAAACTATCATGCTTTGGGCAGCCCAAACACCATTCTCTGCGCAAGAGTTCAGTCAAATTCTGACCCATCTCGTGGACTTCCAAAGGGATGTGGCTGAAGCTAGAAAGAATCCTGAAGATGAATCAGCCCCTTTGGATCACGGAAGTATTCACCTTCTAGTTTCCCTTCTCTGTTCTTTGGAGCCTTTTGGTACTCCTGGTATTATTGTGGACCAATATTCTGACTTGAATGAACAAGGTTTGTCGACTACATTATTATTTTTCATTGTAAAACTTGATTAACCTTCAACCTATTCTTACCTTCATAATAATGCACTTATATTTGACAATTTCATAAAAGTTTGCAGTTGCTAAGATATATTTTTGCATAGAGTTATCAGGGGTGGTAGTCGTTTATTTTACTTCTGCACTTAACGCTCTCAACATAAGATGGTTCATAGGAATTCAGTTGTGAAAAAGATCACTATAATTTCCTTATAATTGATTAAAAATATATTATTTTTATTATGTGTGTTTGTATTTGCTCGATAGGATCTTTGAGTAACAATCTACAGATTAAAAAGCGAATCTTTGCTTTCTTTTTGGGAATAAATATTATTTTTTGATGGATTCTAAATTTCATTTTGCTTCCCCTCTATGATGTGGCAGTTAAATTATTTAGAAACCCTCATCAGCGAATGATTGTTTTCCTCTAAAACTTGAATACCGATCGAAATAATTTCTTCCATAATTTACCCTCATCCGTAGATGTTTGAATTTTACGTTACTTTGGAGCTTTTATTTTAAAATGGCTTATGTTAGGCAGTATGACGGAACGAAGATTTTTGAAGAACTTCCATTCAAAGTATTCTACGTTTGTGACTTATTTCGATAACGTGGAATTTAAAGCTAATCCAGTTTTATTAGTCCTTTCTCCTTAGCTTCGGAGCAGATAGTGTGCCTGATTACTAGATTCGTTAGTTGAGTACTTTTCCTAGCCATGCTTCATTAAACATAACTTTTTATCTGATGTTATGGTATATTCTGGAACCTAATTAGTTTTTTGGTTTACGTACAATCTATTCTCTCAAATATGCCGAACACCGTATTATGCAAGATTATTGCTACTTGTCTTCCTACTACTGACTTTGTCTTGATTATGAGGGAATTACGCTTTTATTCCTCATAAATATTCTAGAATTGGTTTATCACTCCCAGAATTTCAGTTTCTGTAAATATCCACTTATTTAGATCCTCAAATAGCCTGAGACGATCCACTTTCTTATTTCCTCTCCTGATTCCTAAGGCAACAGAGTGCATCATGAAACTTCATGAACTGATCGTCATTGCGAAGGTTTTTTCCAACACTTCCATCGAACTCCTCCGTTAAGTAGTTTGCATAATACATTTTCCTCCCATTTAGACCTACAGCATCCCCTCTATTGGCAGAAGGGTTACATCTCCGCCATGACTGACATTCTAACTCCCCCAGGTGATCCCGATCATCATAATTATCCTTTAGCAGTGGAGGGTATCTACGGTCTGCTACAGATCGCCTGGGGTATTACACTACGTCGAACTGCCCATCTCCGATCGGATTTGAGACGCAGACGAGGCGGTGATGGAGATGTTGGCATTGATGCTGCCGACTCAGTGGATGATGATGAACTCATTACTACTGCACTGAGATCGCGCGCTATGTTTCTGTTACTTACCGGTGTGCTCGGTGCATCTCATTTTCAGCAAGAGGTTTGTACACTCCTCTCTTCTATTCTTCACCATATTAGTTACTGTTCGGATTAAATTTGAACATTGGTGAAAGGCGTAGCTATCAATAGTTTGTTAAATATAAGAGAATTGTCTTCAAGCGATGACTATGTAGAGTTAATGCATGCATGAAATAACTGACAAATGCAAATACTTTTATGAATTGGAAGATTTCTGTTCATGAAAGTTACTTGACTGTTAGTGTAGGGTGGTTCATTTTGGCTTCTTAATAATGATTCAATATTCGACAGTTTTGTTATCTTTAGAGAATAAGGACATCATTTATCGTTTACAGATTTGGCATGTGTCTTACAGCTTCAGTCTTTGTTAAGGCTGTAGGGAAAGCCAATAAAACGATTAAATTAAAATGAGCAGTTGTCTGAATAATTTTACTTCACCTCATTTGGGATTTGGCAGTTACTTGAAGCTGGGTATTTTAATTTCTCCAATTGCTTTTTTTCCACATTTTTATGCTATTGTATTATGTTTTTTGTATGAAATGTTTCCTTTCTATTATTTCTCAATTCGCTTTTACTGCAGTCAATGTGGGTTCGTCGAGTCCACAGTCTCTTCACCGAGCTCCTAATCAACTTCCCACAGAACGTACGAGACTTACGTCTCTGGGATGAGTCGATGGTGCGTCGAATGGGCGTGGATCCGGGTGGTTTTGCAGTTCTCCTTGACGCACTGTGTCGTCTTTATGATGTGCCAGGCTCACCTCTCCACGCTCGCCTTTCTCTGGAATTCTGGTGGCCCTCCGGGGAGACACGTATTACTGGTGCTGCAAATACCGCTGTCACCAATGTTGCAGGTACTCAGGGACCACAGAGCTCTGAGAGCGGTTCTGCTACAGCTGCTCTTAATGCCTCTTTTAGAGCGGGAGAAGTTGAGAACTCTCGTCAAGTAAGCAATACACATTTGGTGATTTAATATGGATTAGTACTTCAACGGCCATAATAGTTGATATCTTTGCAGATGTTTTTCTGGCTGTCGTTGAATGAATGTAGGTAAATCAAATGTGCAATAGAATTAACGCACTCTCTATGCCTCTTACGAGCACGATTATTTTTTCATACGGTTGGTACCATATTTTTTTGCCTTAGCCGACTGATGTGGTTTCGAACTCGGTAAGTATATTCTCACACTGTGGTAGTTTTTTTACCTGACCTTTCGCTAACTTAGTGTTCAAAGTGTGTATTTTGAAGACTAGAATCTGAATATCGGGCAATAATTGCATCTTATAGCTTTCCTTTTTTTGTCTATTTAATCATACTTTCATGTGCCATTTTTGTTGTGCTCAACTCCTTTCTAGGCGATTCTCTTTCGTTTTGTCTACTCGACCAGTGAATTTGCCTCATCTCCCGTGATCTTCGTGCCTTATGTGAAGGTACTACGAGCTCTGGTGGGGAGTCAGACTTCTGCCAATCTTTGCTTCAATCTTCTCAAAGCAACAGCAACATCTGGAGGTTTGTTTCTACCGTTTTTCCTCGCATTATTCAATCACAGGGTATTCACTTTACTTTGTTTGCCACGACAGGAGAAAGATTTTCAACCTTTTTATTACACGGAAGCCTCCATACGCTTAGAAAATAAAATTTTATCAAGATGCATGCCAGTATTTTTATGGGGATAGAGACCAGAGTATGAAAGTCAGTGTTAAGGCATTGGGGACATCCTAGTTAATCTGAGCCCCAAATTACCAGGTCAACTACTGTCTCAAGTTTAGCTTCCTTCAGATTTATCCCTTCATTTTACTCATTTGTTTCTTGATTTGTAATCCTTGCATCATTATTAGCAGCTTTTATTCCATTATATTTTCACATTTTTAAAAAAAAATTTCATGAGAAAGCGACTGAGTTCAGGAGGTAGAAATTGTTATCAGTACTTTGAAACTAGTGATTTTTTCAAAAAACACTCCTTTTTGCCAGCATCCAGCCTACTTACAAATAGAATTTCTATTAGGCTCTGTATTGAAAAATATATTTAATATAATTTAAGTGGTATATATTTGGTTCCTAAAGCACATTAAAAACATCTTACTCTGTTGTAGGTCGTTTGGCGTCTCTTCTGACCTGGGATCACTTTATCACCAGTCTTCACCAGTACCTCGATCACTTGAAAAGCGCCGCTGCAGCAGCTGCTGCTGCCACATATACCACCACGACAGTCGGGGGTCAACAACTCCCCCCTCACCTTCAATATCCTCACCTCTACGCCCCCTCAATCGATGCCTTCCCACCACCACCACCCTCCGGTTATTCTCTGTTAACTCAGCAACAACAACTGGTAAACCAACATGTTCAACCGATGGACATGCAACAGCAAACATCCACTCCGGCAACTCCTGAAATCCAACCTGAAGAGCTGGACGCATTGAGGAGTGTTGTGGGGTTGATAACTCGTGTTTGTTTTATGGTAAGCGAATAGTTTTAAATCATTTCTCTTATAACTCATTAAATCACCAATACATTCATTTAAACACGAGCTCCTTGATGATAGGAATTTGTTCATTTGAGTTTTTTCCTAACTACTATGTAGTAACAATTCTAATAGATGTCAAAATTAATAGCTTGCAGATTCTTCCCCTTATGTCATTTCGAACCTGTGGTTGTTTTGTGAATATCTACCATATTATGGTGGTATTTGCAATACTACAAAGAACCGTTTTACTAATCTTTGTCACAAAAGTACAGTACATTACATACTTAAAATGTCTTTTTGTCTGTATAACGCAAAAATATCAAAACCTTTATTGTTCTATTTTAGGATCCTGTTGCCCGTTCTGCTTTCGCTTCCAACACCAAATGGTCATTGGTCTCCACTGCTATCGGTCTAATCACCTGCCCTCTACCTATGTCAATGAAAGCAGATCTACTTCACCTTCTTGCAGCTCTAGCTCGAACCCCATCCATTGCTGCTGAAATCTGGTGTGCCCTCATTGAGAGCCGACTTCTCGCTTTCATCGATCCTCAAAGCATGGTAATGAGCGTTAATGGAAGTGTCAATGCTATCAAAGGAATCGTCGGACTTCATGTATGATCTTTTATCTGTCTTTATTCAATTTCCCTGCTGAGCATACTAAATATTTTCATTCGAAATCAGCCACTACACCTAAGTTGTGTGCTATTGTGTTAGTTCAAACTTACTAAAATGCAGGCAGTACACATTACGTAATTTGTAAATTAAATCGGGTTTGGTGTAATGAGGGAGTGGTTTGCATGTGTATGTGATGTATCAAAAGTCACGAGTTTATTGTCTGTTAGTGCTCAATAAGGTAGCTAATTAATTGTCCGGCGGTGTAGCGGTCGATGTGTGTGTGTATCTAGTAGTGTTGGCAACCAACCATCCTGGCTAACTCTCGTTGCTGAATGTGTTTCTCGTATGAGAGAGTGGCCACAGGGTATCTTCCCGTAACTAATGGACTCGGGAGTTTTATCTCCCTCTTAGTAGCTAGCGTGTGATGTAGTAGTCAATGTGGTAAGTCAGTTGTCTCGCGACCAATCAGCGTTCAGTAATTTGGATGAGGTATTGCTTAGGTTATTTCTAGCCTAAGAGTGGAGTTGGTAAAATGTTTGCTTCCCATATTATTTAGACTAAATTAAGTGCTGTTGACATTTTCCGCTATAGGATTAGGAGTTTTCATCTCTTTTTGTATTTGGAATAATTTTGGGGTAATCGAAAGTCTCGTTATTTGTAAATACATAGTAACGAATGGAGGTAGGATGGAGAATTTGTCAGCTTCAGAATAGCCAGAATGGTCTCTTTAACCTTATTTTTTAGACTGAGATGGATAAGGCTGAAGCGAGACATGAGGAATATCCTATCACCCAGGCCTTCCTGAATCTTCTTACAACTCTTGCGCCCTCCTTGTTGACCTCTTCGGTGGGAGTAAACGAACCTCCGTTTGGTGGTCTGGACCCATGTGAAGGCCTATCGCGTCTTGTTCATTTCACATCGGAGAATATCTTCTTGAAGCACACTATGCGAGCTTATCGTCATAAGAATGAAAGGGTTAGTTCCATTTCGTATTAGTCGCAAGTCATCCCCATATCGAATCTGAATATGGCTTTAAAACAATGTCATTATTTATTTTAGTTCTACCCTTAATTAGAGATAGTTTTTCCGCTTGCCTCTTCTTTTCCAGGCTCGTATGCGCCTACTTTGTCGATTTGGTTGTTAATAGCTCTTTTACAACAGTATAATTTGGACACTGCATTAACGTCTGTTCTCTTCCCTTCAAATTCACCGTTTTTCAATAGTATTTCTTTCGTTCCTTGCTTCTTCCCAATAAAACCGTGGTAGCACTCCAAAGTAAGCCTTCTGCTCTATTTCTCTAAGCTTGATGAAGTTCATGAACTGTGGTCAGCTTCTTCAAGTATTTCCTCTGACGTGTTAAGTGTTACTTCTGTCGCCTGGCTGTGGAAGCGCTTAATTAAGTTGTGTACTGAGATGTTCAATGGAACCTACATTAAAACAATATCTTCCAATCTTCGAAGTATCATCTTATTTTACTAATTAAAGCCAACAATGGTTATAGAAGTGAAGTTATGTCATCTTATAATTCATGTTTTTCTTATTGTCCTCCTTCTTTTTGCAGTGGGAAATTGCTGCGGCTTGTTTAAACCTCTTCGAAGGTCTAATTCAAGCATTTATACGTCGAATGCGTGCTGTAGCCGTTTTTGCTGCAGGTGCGGATAACTGCAGTGAAGAGCAATTAGCCCTCTTTGATTGGTCTGCTCTTCTAACTGGAGGTCATCTAAAATCCACCAAACTCAAACTTCCACATGGGTGGCCATTTACTGATCCTGGTTATCAAATCGTAACTCAGTTACTCATAAACTCCTCCCTATTTTCCTTGGTAGGTTTCCTTTGGTCATACGTTGCTACTTATATTGGATTATTAGTAACTTGTGAGGATTTTCATTTTTTGTACCTACACTAGATGACCGGCCTTCTTGAAGTGGGCTTTTATCGTCTGATGGAATATGATTTAACTCCTTCATATGCTATGAATCGAGCAACTGCCGCTATTTTGCGAATATTTGAACATATCCTTCCACATGAACAAATATTGGTGAACCTTGTGAGACGGGCTTCTCTGCTTGTTCCTCATCTTAGGTGAGTTATTTTTAATTAGCCTCACATTTATGTCATATTCAAGTTATGCCAGCAAATCAAAATTTGTATTTATGCAAGATATCTTACCACGCGTAATTGTAGGCGAAAGAACAGGCAGAGGTGGCTGGGTGATAGCGGTTTAAGTAGACTCAGTCGAATTTCAACTCTTTTTAACTTATCCTGTTGACCTATTTTCGCTTGAAATTATTCGCCTCTATTAGCGTTATTGGTTATTTCACCAACTGATTGAATAATCATTCACATGAACTCTATTTTCAGACCTGAAACGGCATGGGGTCAACGATCTGGTGTTGACATCATAATGCCCAGTCTTCTATCTCGTCTCCTCGTGGTGACTATTAACTCGAGAACTGGAAGGGCCGACCTACTCATTACCATTGTTCGGTAAATAATGCCTAACTTCATCATTCATTGATTATTGCAAACCCACTTTCACGTTTATTCGTTTCTTTAGATACTGTGGACTCTATGACGACCTTCCTGATCACTGCTCTTCGGCTTTGAATATTCTCTACAATGTTGTAAGAGCAGAGCATTCACATGAGCCCGTGCTGGCAATCTTCACAAATGACCAAGTTGGTTTTTCATTTCTTGTTCAGGTCAATATTTTCGAGTTGAATTTGTGCACACTTACTTCTCATTCCTTTGTAGAAGACTGAAAATGAGCTATTGCGGGCTCTAGTTTCCTGTCTCAGCACCTCTATATATGATATGAGTGACTGCCATGAGCTCTCTTCCATCACAGAGGTAGAAGTTCCTATTTTCTCAGACTCTTGGCTCTATGATGATGCGCCTGATGAGAGTGTTGATGGGGGATACAAGCTCGCCACCACCTCTGTCTATGCACCCCATCCAGCATTCAAGGCAGCTCATCTACTTGCATCTTTTCCTACAGTGCGTTGGAACTGGACAACCGAAGAGATATCTCGTTGGGAGTTAATGACAACCTTTGCACCAACTCAAGGCAATGCCATATCCGAAATGGTGAAAGGCAATATTATGGAGCTTGACTCTATGTGGTCGTTTGGTAGCAGTAAACGATCAGTTCGTTCCACTATGTTGCATATGATTCTCTATTCCCTCACCAATCACTCGTCTCCTTCGATTGGCCATTGGCTCCTTGGTTTCCGTTGCAAGAATGCTCGTACCATAGCCCTTACAACAATACAGGTAATGGGACGAAATTAACCTATCTTTTTAATTTTTTATATAACGTAATTGATTCTAATGTGCTTTCATTTTTTCAATAGAATGCTGGTGTTGGTGGCTATCCAAGCACGTGTCTACACGGTATTCTTGATTTAATTGAATTAGGAGTGGCTAGTCTTCGCGAGAATCTAGTTGCAGAGACAATTGATGCTCCTCCCCACATTTCTTTACTGACACAACAATGGGATTCTGCAATGGCGTGGCAAATTCTCTACCATCTAATGGCTGCTAGTGCTACCACTGCAGTTCCTATAGCCCGTTATCTTCGTGGAACTCATGATTTTGTTGCCAGACATCTTACTACGGGGCTTGTAGGAGTACTTCTTGCTTCTTCGGTTCCACGGTTGTCATCCTGTAACTCCTTGGAGACTGCTTCAAGTTGGTGTAAGTTTTAGATTAAATCTGTTGGTGTTTTTACGCAACTCTTTCCGTTTATGGTGCTATGGGAATCTTGAACTTCATTAATCAAATTCAAAATTTTAAGATTATGTTATTTTCATTCCACTTTCTCTCATTGTACTTGCGTCGTCTTCTTTTTAGCCCTACAATCTCTTATATTGAACCAATGTTCATGGCTTCTTAAGATGGGAGCTATTGAGGTACAATCTTCAACGTCACAGCGTACTTACCTCGCTCGAATTCTCACTAATCTCTTCACAATTGGTGAAAACTCTGTTGACACGAATGGGACTGTTGGAACCTCGTGTATGTTTCCTTTTATACCACGCTAAAATTCCCCCCATATTAAATGTTCTGATTGTATCCTATATTTTCTAGTTATAAATCACTTCGCATCCGCTTTGACATACTCTGATCTAACTGAACCCCAAAATCGGGTTCTTGCTGATCTCCTATCCCGGATGACGCCCTCAGAGACGCTTATCGGCCCTCAATGGATTTTTGACCGAGACTGTGTAGACTCTAAACTCATGGAAAATGTGATTATTTTCCGCTTTTTCTAAGTAATTTCTGTGATCTCCCTCTGTTCGATTGCTTTTGTTGTACTTTTAGATTGTTGTAGCTTGTGAAGAAGCTTCTCCGCTCATCTCTACTGAAGAGCATTCCACGCTTCGTACATGTGTAATCAATACCTCTTCTCTTGTCTCTCGCTTGTCTGTATTCTTCGGCCAAGGTGGATTAGTCAATGCAACGATTTTTGAGGAAGGCGCAGATGCGAACACCTTGGCACTTGGCAATCTCCGTCTCTGTACAGATGTAGTTGAATGGGCTCGTCGTCGTAATACACATCGTCTCGCCTTAGTACTTGGCAAACAGGCGTGTTTAGAAGGCTGGAGACATCTCACTGAGATTGGCCTCAGAATGCTTCATTTTCTAGCTCGAACATCACCTGATATTCTATCAACTAGTGCCAGCATTCCAGTCAATAGAAGTCTCTATTCTGCCACAATGGCTCTGCTTAATCCTCTTCTCCATGAGGTTTCGGCTCCTGAGTCAACGCCAGCTGTTCTCAAGGTATTAGCTAGTGGAAGTGCACTGAGCTTGTCTGCTTTTCTTCAAATCTTTGCCTCTCCGACATCTGCAGATGGTTCAATGCTACTATCGTCCAGAGCTACTGGGATTCAGAATATTCTATCTGTTACTCAACTTCTGCTTGAAGCTATCTTGACTTCTAGTAGGCATAATTCTATCATGAAGCCATTTTTGCAGTATGTCATCTAACGATGGGATTTTTTTAATTTCCAGAACCAAATCATCAGCGTGTCCGAGCAAACTATTATGGGGCTCTGTGCTATATCCTCGATGTTTGCCATCAATTTGGTAAAGAAATTTGGTTATTATTAGTTCATTTTAATTGATTTTGTATATTTATGATTTGTATCTGTGAATTGCCCTTGAGGTTTGTTGTTTCTGATACGGAGAGTGGACGAAGTTCGATTGAGCCTGAAATGTCTGTGTTTTGTTTTCCATTGATTTGCTAAGTTGTCTTTCTTATTTTACTCTTTATTTGCAAGATATGAAGTATGAAATTCGATTTGCCGACAACTTAGCTACTTGTATATAAATGTTGGCGAAGGAGGTCCTTTTCCTTAAATAGGGTATTTTTTTCTTCAGATCAGCAAATATCAGCCTCAAGTGTCAGTGGAACATCGGAGATCCCGATCACCCTTCAAGTAATCAATATTCTCGCTGGGATTGATGGTGATCATTTCAATAGCTCATTTTTAACGGTTCTCTTCAGTGACATTTCAAATGGTCATCATCCAATAATTCCAATATCCGCTATAGGATTGCTCTGCAGTCTGTTAAAACTTGATCGCACCTCTGGTCAGGTTCTTGAGACTGTTGTTCGTGATGGCTGCTTGCAGTTCTGCATTGATAGTCTAGAAGACGATCTAGCTGTTCTGCAGCAGCACCTAGTTTCTCAAAACGACAGTTCCATTATTATGGGACGAGATGTGAATGAAAACAAAGAACAGGCTGACGCCACTGCCGTGTTCTACGTCTACCAATCAAAAATGGCTCTACTTACCCTCATTGCTTCTACGCAACTTGGGGCGAAATCCATAATTCAGACATCTCTACTTGACTCCACCCTGTGCCGATTCGAACCTCTATCAGGTTCCTGTTTGGCTGACGTTTTTGACTTCTCTGTCGCTTCTGTTCGAAATAACCCAAGCGCTTCAAACACCACCCAATTTGATCCTCTCCATTGGCTGGATACATATGAATTTTCCCAGCATCTTCTGGACTCTCTTAACCGTCAAGAACTTGGGGAATCTTTTGGATGTAGTCCCCTTGGAGTTATCAATCCTTTGGTGACCTCCCAACTCCTTTCTGCTTCTGGGTCTAGCTTGGGCGTGACTGCAGATCCTGGTCAATGTCTCACGTGGTCGGGTATACTCTCGCCAGCACTTGCCTTTACAAAGACCCTTGTTTTCACTCTGGGTCCAACTCATGTTTCGGCTGTTCAGAAGGTTTCTAAATTCGTCTATACACATTCTGAAGCTTTGCTAACAGTAGGCGCCAGTGCTACAGCAGCACAACTAGTTGCTGCTTTATCTCAAGAAGCATTCCAAGATTGTGTTCTAGGTAGTGAAACTAGCATAGAACGACAAGAGCAGTTAGTTCAAGCCACCCTTCAATGGTTGCATGGGGAGGAAAGCTTGACACATCTCCTCTCCTTCATTCTTCGTGCAAGAATCCCGCTCAATTTGGGGGAGTGAGTTTCCTTTCTTCTTGTCGACTTTTTTACTCATTTCAGCTTCTAAATGAAGTGTTCTTTTAGACCTGATGATCTTCCTCGAGAATTGCTAAGAAGCAAGATTCTGCGACATATCTTTGCAATTATGCCAGATTCACTGCAGGCTCTTCAAATTAAAGAACAGCGTGGGGTGTCAGCAGAGATGAATCCAATGAATAATGCTAGGTACATTTTGATTGAATTTCTTAAAATATTGTAATTATTATTTTGTATGAGTTATACTAGCCGGCTTTGAGAATGCAATGGGTAAAATCTATGCCAATGGTGGAAGATTGTCAATGTAATTTTTTCTTTTCATTATTATTTTGGGAGGTTGTTCAATCGCCCTAGATCTTGTCGAATATTTGGGGTGGTGTTTGCAAATTTTAGTTTTCTCTGATGGAGTCCTCTTTGCAACTGAGTTTCAATAATTTGGATATTGGGACTTACTTCAAATGGCATGCTTTTTCAAAATTATCAGTATCCTTTTAGTTGACTTCGGGCTTCACAGAGGGAATTAACATCGAAGTGATAAAAAGTCGAGAGGGGGAGAGAAGAGTGATTTACAGATGTAAAAGTGATGGACACAAAGGCAGAGAAAAGGTAAGATGAATACTATGGAAGTGGTCGAATTTGACATACAGTGGAGTCATGGTAGTTTGAAGTCAGAAATCGACTGCCAGTTAATTGACTTTTTGCCGTGAGTATACATTGCCCAGGGTGCACCACCACGTGGAGGTAAGTCCATCGCACACCTCAGATATTGGAAGTAATTTACTTGTATGTTTTTTTCAATCACCACGGTTAATTAGCACCGACCACTTCCTGTCTTAGTCGTAACTTTATGAGTGATTATTAGAACCAGTCAGTGTTTCCTACTCTGCTCCATTTTAGGCAAACATTCGTTCGCAATTTAGTGACAACTAAGCAGTTAGAACTGCTATGTCTTCAAGTGAACACTTGCGTGGCCGCTGTTTCCACAGAGGATGAATTTGATGGACTCGATAACACCTTGGTGAAGAATCTTATCTTCTCATCTTCACTCACGTCAAGTTAGTTCTTTGCTCACCTTTAATGATTTTTGGGAATTGTAATTAATTATACATAATTGGTTATTTAACTCTTCTCTCTTTAGATGATAGCGGTAGTGAAGCTACTCTACCCAATCCCACTCGCCCCGGTCTCAATCTTCTCTTCCAACTTGCCTCATGGGTCTCCTCGAGGTTGCATCATCTTGAGGGTCAAGTCACTAGTCTCTCTCGACACCTTCCCGCTAATCTACTCAACAGCACATCGGCCATCTCCTCTAGCTCTCCTATTTCAGAAAGTGGGCGTGTGAAAGAGGAGGGCAAAAGCGACTCCGCTCCTGCGTTAGACAGGGTCTTAAGGTGTCTTGTACAGCTGCCGGTAGGTTTTATGATTCGAATGATAACTGACTAGTTGAGGGGTCAATTCAATTTATTATTACTAGTGTTCTATAAGCCCAGGATACAAAGCCAATTTTGATCAAGAGAGTGCATTTGAGTAAGATTGCTAGAATTAGATGAGTAATTTGAAGAAAAGTTAATAATCAAGGGAATCCTTAATCTTCGCTCAAGTTCGAATTCATTTCACTAAATCGGTCATCTTTATATTTTTTTTTGCTTTTTTCAAATTTAATTTGTACCTACTCTGCTATCAGTTTAGTTGTTGTTGTGGACGGTTTATGGAAATTCTTGTTTGTGTGATTAGACTTTTGCATTACCTGACCACCGCTTTTTTAGTTAAGTTGGGAGTTGTGTCCTAATCGCTCAATATCCTGCCATATCATTCTAAGTCCCGTTAAGACAAAACAAATGGAGCTCGTTACTTCAAGTTAGAAATTTCTGCCTGCAATTCCGGTTTTATTGCTCAATTAATCCACCACCATTCGCTTGTACTTACCTCATTCCTATTTAAGTTTTTAAGGTTTTGTTTTAAATAGCGTTTCACCAAGTATGTCATCATGTTAGCAAGCTCTTATTCTCCATATTTCTGCCATAGGTTCTCTCAATGTATTCGTTTTTATGAGCACTTGTCATTTATTTACACATTTCAGGTAAGCCTGAATTCATCGGTAGGTGATATCTCCACAGACAGTCTGCGTCAGATCGCAACAAGTGTCTTCTCCGTCTGGTCACCGATGGTCTTTCCGTTACTTCAAACTAAGTAAGTTCTCACTTCAGTTACGTATTGATATCCC